CAAAGGCCCCGGTGCCTTATCTCCACTTCTTTATAAAGAGGTGAATATAAAACAATTTCTTCCAAACCCAGACAGAGAGCACGAAAATTGCTTCCCTTTCTGCAATCAGGGCAATTTAACTGGAGTGCAATTAGCACTATTAAATGTCGATTCTGCATAAACAAATCTGACTGAGCAGAGAAAGTGGGGTGAGAACCTCATATACACTGAAACTGATTTTTTAAAATTATGTATCCGGGTCCTTTACAATTGATCCGTGACGTTTTCATCTCGGCATATATTTACATGGTAAATACACTATGGTTAAATCAACATGGTTTTTTCGCAAAAAAGAAAAAAAAAGATCCAATGCAAAGCCCAATAAAGAATGGAACAATTAAAGGGAAGAGTTCACTTCCCTTGCACAAATGTTGTTTCTCCCATTTTTGCTCTCCGAAGGGCTTTGATCTGAGCAACTACTCAAGTTTGTGGTGTTTTGGAGGCGAAGCTAGGGAAACAGTTTCATCTTGAGCTCCCATCCCGGATCCACGCGCCTGTGCCATAGATGCTCGATGCAGGCAGCGTGGCGATCCCGAAGACCAGATATTTTCTGACCTCCTCCATACCATAGCTGGGTAAACATTAGGTAGCAGCCTGGTCTCCGCGCAGGTTAGAAGCTGGCGAGCAACACTGACGTGGGGTAAGGTGTAGCTGGAGGCGCAGGACATAGGCAGGAAGGGAGGCGTTGGGAGGGGAGGAACCAAAGGCTTCTCAAATTGGTGGGGCTGGTTTCAGTGGAAGCCTGGGCCACTGGAACTAGGATGCAGGGCGGGGGCGGGGGTAAGAGGGAGAGCGCCCATAAAAGCATTTGTCTGACCTGTCCTCCCACCTGCCTTTATTTATTTATTTGCTAAGCCCCAGAGGCACCCGTTTTGAATCATTTGTGCAATTAATTATGCTTTTCATTTGCATGATCTACACCAGAGCAGTGATTATCAGGTCAGCACGGTGTGGGAGTTGGGGAGAAACATAATAACTTCAGTTTAAAAAAAAAAAAAGCTGCATTTGTATGGTTGCTGCCTGCTTTGAGCAAGGAAGGGGGGGGCAGGGCAGCCTTTAGCGCCTGTTGAGTCCTGTGCACCCTTCCCTCAGCTGGAGCGTGTCAGTGTGAGTGAAAATGAAATACAGCCTTTGATTAGACTGGGATCTTTTATAGTTAACATATATTTATGCCTTTAAAAGCACCCAGTCTTGAGTTCAAATGGATCAAGAAAATTAATTGAAAATTGAAGGACTCTCCCACAATTTCATTACTGTGAAGTTTTTATTTAATACTCATTATAACGCCCTTCCTTATTGTAGCCCAACCCTTGCTAGGCCAATGAGACGTTCATCTTTTTTTTTTTTTTTTTCTGTCTCTGCCTCAAAGGTGTCTGTCACTCCTATGTAGAAATGCCAGGTGGGGCAAAGCATTCTAGCCTCTGGAAGGTTTCCAGGAGAAACTGAAAGTCCCTGGTCTGTTGAGAGCAGTCCACGCCTTTGCTGCTTTGCTGCACAACTGTCTGCTGTGTGTGACTGGACCTTCTATTCCAAGCTTGCCTTGATCTGTTTATCTGAGTCAAAAATGCACTGACAATTAAAGGAGAGACTGGTATGTCAGAGGAAGGAAGGTGACTGGAGACTGTGATGATTTTAATGACTGCAATTATTGGAAGATTATTCAACAAGCATCATAGATTTGTTTACTGCGTCACCAGGAAACTGTGGGGGGTCTGTTTGGCTTGAGGCAGTACTTCCCTCTCTCCCTCCCCAACCGCTAGGAAGGAGTCCCAGACCAAAGCAAAGTGAGAAGAGAGTCAGTTTTCATTCTGAGAGAGATTCGACCCAAATGATGTTCACGTGTTGCCTCCAACAGCATAAGAGAACCATCCTTGCAGCCGCTGTGAGAGCGCTTCGTTTTCATCTGAACCTAATAGAGATGTCCTGAGGCCTCTCCTGGCCAGCATACTAGTTTTAGTTTAAGTACTTCTTAGGTAGCCCGAGAGGAGGCTTCACCTTCCAGCTCTTTCCTCCCTTCATCTAAAACTCAGAGAAGGAAGACACTCCACCTGTAAGAAGCCTATTTCCAGAGCTCTCCTGGGAAAGTTCCCCTTTCCTCCCTTCAACAATCCCCTTCAAATCATTCCTTATCACTACCGTTCGAAATAAGAAAAAGATATGACCAGGAGCATATTGGTTTGTGACTAGTCAAGTTTTTACTGTAACTATAACAGTAAGGGATGTCGATGCAGAAGGTTCCTGGTAGTGACAAATGTGTTTTGGTTGACATTGCTTACCCTGGAAATGTTGTGTGGAAGTCCAATTTAGCCGATGGACATCCCTAGCAACCCTCCCTCTCCTGGGCACCAAGGTTGGGTGCTCTTTCTGGGTTTTGCAATGACCAGCCTGGGGCTTAAGGAGGACTGAGAACTCACCCTACTCAAGTGTGAGCCTGCAGGCTTCTGCAAATGACAATTGGGAACCTATTACAAGCCATTAAATTGATCAACGTACCTTAAACAATGTGAATGGCTGATTTACAAGGGTGGAAAAAGAGGTTCTGCATCCTTTATAGACGTGGTACTGCTGTGCCGGGTAGGGGACCCAGATCCTTGCTCTTCTCAGCTCAGAGCCACCAGTGACTTAGATAACTTTTCAAGTCAAGACACAGGTTCCTCAGCTTGTCCAGTGGGTGGCGAGATGCTTGTTCTTTGCCCACGTTTCTTCTTTTTAAGGAAAACCGAAGAAGACCAAGGCCAGAAGCAGCAGAGGGTCACGGAAATGCCCCTCCCCTGGTTGAAGATACTACCAACAGGGGTCCCAGCTGCCTCCCTTTCTCAGTCTTTCCCCACAAGGATGACTTACATGTTTGCCTTAACCGGTGTTGGATTGCTGCATGGCCTCCTAATTATGGCAGGAACACACACCATTAGCCCTTGAAATTTCAGGCCAGACTGGGGAGGAGCAACAGCCAGGCAACAGCTCTGGAGGGAAGATGCCGCTGAGGAGTGAGGAGGGAGGGAAATCCTCCTTAGGGTTGACTCTTCCCGTTTGTCTACACAGCAGAGACAAAATCACAGCAGAGCTGAAGCGATCAAAGCTGCCCTCCCCTGCCTGGTCCAAAGTCGCTTTGTAGCTATCTACTCGCCGCGGACATTCATCGGCTCCTCACAACAAGGACATTCCTGCCAGTTTTTTTTTTTTTTCCCCAGAGTCTGTTAGGAGAAGACAGACACACATCACCCATCCCGAAGGAGGATTCCCTTTGTCTAACTTCCTCCTGGTGCACGCACCTTCAGCTCGGCAATGCAGGGGGAGGCCAGGCGCTGGGAAGACTCTAGGTGATTACCTTTAGATCAGCCCATACTCACGTCTAACTCTGTCCCTGCAGGTTCCTCCTTCTCCTCTCCCCCTTCCTCCCTTCATAGGAAAGGGTCTCTCTGGGTCTCTTTGCCTCCTGACCTCCCTGGTCCTCTCTAATTCTGTCCCCAGAGTCTGTCCATAGAGCCTGGGTAGGGGATGTTCCCTACCTTAGTTTGGCAGGAAAGAGCTTCATCTTGGTTCACGCGGGTCTATCACAAATCCATTTGCTTAGGTCTAAGTGTGGAATGAGAAGCCTTCAAGGGTTGATGGTGGTGTGCAGAAGGAAGAGGGAAAGAGCAGAGAAACAGCAAACATGTATCTTTTGCAGCCCGTGTTCCACGGAAGCCCAGGATTGGGAAAGTATAAATGGATCATGCTCTCTCCCTAACAGACCCCAACCCCCATGCCCCAACCCCCACTTCCAGAGGTTGTCCTCTGACCTTAATTTTGCAGATGGCACCCTGCTGAGTTCTTCTCTGAGTAAGTATCTTCACCACCACCACCACTACCCCGCCTGAAATCCCTTCTCAAGGCCCAACAACTCCTAGAGGCAGAGAAGGGAGGTGGGTTGTGTGGGCCAAGAGTTTTCCCAAAGAGGACTCAGCGCCCCCGTGACGTTGCCGAGACAAATCCCATGTTTTCTGGGTTTCAGCTGCTCTAGAGCCCATCCCTGGTGGGCCAGCCTTCTGTTAGACCACTCACTGGTGTTACACACACCCTGTGTCCCTAGAAAACCCGAGAGCACCCGGACTCTGTCCCTGGGATGTTGAGTGGTATAAGGGCAGCACCACACGCTTTAGGCACGTGCTTCTCGCGTCTTTACTCTTCCCCAGGACCGCAAGCAAAAGATACAGTTGCTGACACGGACACACTCACCGAGCACACGCCAGGGGCATCCATCTTCGTTCCCAACCAGGCGTCAGCGAGCTGGGCGGCCTTAAGGCAGGTGACGACGTGGAGAGGCAGACTTGGAGCTCCAGAAACATCCCTGCGAGTTCGGACGGGCGGGGACGCTCAGATCTCTCAAAAGCGCCTGGAAGGAAGCCTCTGGCGGGGTGGCCTCCATGGGTGGCTGGACCTCTCCTCCACCTGGTAACCGGCTCAGCTTCCCTCAGCGCAGCACGTTGAGTATTTCGGTGGCTACCCCTGCTCCCATCTAAGGGTCCTCTGCAAGACACCCGTCTTGCACGCCCTCCATAGGCTCAGTTACATCTGGGTGCATTGCCCCTTAGTCGTCAACCCGGTTATTGTGATCAAGTGACTGTTCTAATCTCTACATTTATTGTTTAGGTAAATAGAGGTTGCGTTTCATCAATATGCAGGGCCCCAGCCCTCGCAGCGCCAAGTAACTTAAGTCAACGCTGAAAATTTCAGGGTGTGCGTAATTACAGGGCACGCGGAATTTTCAACTCGATCCTAATTCCACATCTTTTCTCCGACCCGGGGGCAGCAGGAGGAGGGAACCCGAGGAATCTCCACCCTCCAAGGAATCGAAGGCCTGCTCGTTTCGAGCAAAAGAACTTCACGGGCGGTGACATCGTGCGCGCTTCCTGTCCTCGACCCAAAAGCCTGAGACGGATCTGGGCACAATCCTAAACTTCCAAGCTGCAAAAGCCAACGTTCAGCGTTCCCTCTGCAATGCTTCTGGAACCCTCCCCTGGAATCTGCCGCAGTGAGGAGGGGGTTCCCTACTCGGCGGGTCCTCGTGGGAGGGGGAGGGGTTTTGGAGGCGGGTTGTCCCACGCTCTCCACGCGCGGTGGGCTTCTTGTTCTACTCAGCTGTGTGTGGTTCCATGCCCTGGGGTTGGAGCGAGAGTGTGCTGTGCTTGGGTGCGGTAAAGCGCCGGTACTGGCGCTTCACGAGTAGCTATTGTTTTCTAATTAAGAGGATCTAAACCCAGAGACTAGAAGACTAGGGAATCGCCTCAAGGAATGGGCGGTCTTCTTCAGCCAAGGCTGGTTTGGGCTTCCTCCAGCTTCTGGGTTCTGGGAGTGGCCTTGGACTGGACGCCCCCCCCCCCCCCCCCCCCCCCCCCCCCCCCCCGCCGCCTCTGAACCTGGCAGGAAAAGGGTTAGCTGGGAATATTCCCAGAGGCTGTGAAATGAGACTCTGGAGGCTGATCCTCAAGTCTGAGGAGCAATACTTTCTCATTTGCAGGGAATTTCTTTCTCTGCTTTCAGGAGTAACTCCAGTTAGAGCCGGACGTCCATCTTGTTAGAAATGGTCTGGCTTTTTAAATAAAGTAGTTTGAAGTCAGCTCCTCACTTGCGAGATTAGGGTGTCTGTGCTAGATCAAGCTGTAACAGAGGCGTGAACTGGGGCCACAGAATGGAGTGGCAGCTAACAGGTTTTCATTTTTGGCCCTGGTCACTTCTCTTGCTGTCCTTTCCTTAAGAGCCTGCTCAGCGTTTTCAGCAAGGGGAAAATTAAACACAAATGTCAGTCCAATCCCGACAGCCTTTCCTTCTATTATCCCATTCTGAACCTCCCCTTAGCAGGCCCAAGCCACTTTTAAGCCCATGCGGCCTTATCATACATGAAAATCTTTGACTATACTGATACACTCCAGTGCCGCCTCTCACAGGGCAACTGGACATGGTCTTAGACTCTTGGGGCTGCAAATGTTAACTTAACCTTTTCTGAGTTGTGATCATTTTCAGTTAGAACAAGGCAAAAGGGATAAGAGGGCGGGCAGTCAGGTCCCCTGGGTGGGCCCATGGCCCTTGGAAGTCTCAGGAGGAGTAGGCATTAAGGGCCCACCCCTTAGAGGGTTGGTCCAGGCCCAGTCTAAACGTTTGTCAGGTGTCTGTTTTCCAAAACACAGCTGAGAATTTCAGCTTCGAAGGATTGTTGCTGTAAAGGCTAAGTAAAACTAGGCAGAGAAAGTACTGGCAATGTCTCAGTGCTCACTAAGAATGAAAAGGTCTGGCCTTCTTCCTAGGATGTTCCACACACAGCTAAGACACTAAGACTTCAACAAGGCCAATGGCCCAGGGCACAGCAGATTCTCGGTGAGGGGACAGGAAGATGAGCCTGTATCAGCTCCCTTGCAGCCAGGATGCTTGTTTGGAAGGCGGTAAGTCAAGTGTTCAGTGGATTCTAGGAAGCGTTTGGTGGTAGTGGTGGTTTAGTTTGCTTTGGGTTTTGATTTGATTTAGAGGGTTTTTTTTTTGTTTTTTTGTTTTTTGTTTTGTTTTAGACTAGGTCCCTCTATGTATCTGTGTAGACCAAGATGTCCTCTAAGTTTGCCTCTGAGATCTGCCTGCTTCTGCTTTACTGAGTACTGGAACTAAAGGGGTGCGCCACCATGCCTGACCTGTTCTAGTTTTTAAAGATTGTTTTTATTTGTTTGTTTGTTTATTATTTGTAAATGTTTGTGGGGAGGCGTGTACAGAGTTCCCGAGGAGGCCAAAGGCATGTGTTACTGTACTTATAAGACTTATAGGTGCAGGGCGGTGGTGGCACACGCCTGTAATCCCAGCACTCAGGAGGCAGGGGCAGGCGGATCTCTGTGAGTTCGAGACCAGCCTGGTCTACAAGAGCTAGTTCCAGGACAGGCTCCAAAGCCACAGAGAAACCCTGTCTTGAAAATAAAAAAAAGAAAAAAAAAGACTTATAGGTGGTTGTGAACCACTCAGTGTGGATGCTGGGAACTGAGCCTAGGTCCTCTGCAAGGGCAGTAATGACTGTTAATCATTGAGCCAATTTCCAGCCCCCCCCCCCCTTTTTTTTTGTATCTCAAACTGGGCTTGAACTCACTATTTAGCTCAGGCTAGTTCTAACTTGCAGTCCTTTTGGAGTTGAATGTGTATGCTACCATGCCTATCCCTAGCTTCCACAATTTTTGCACATAGAAAGTAGAGGTCTTGCCGGGCAGCGGTGGCGCACGCCTTTAATCCCAGCACTCGGGAGGCAGAGGCAGGCGGATCTCTGTGAGTTCGAGGCCAGCCTGGTCTACAAGAGCTAGTTCCAGGACAGGAACCAAAAAAAGCTACAGAGAAACCCTGTCTCGAAAATCCAAAAAAGAAAAAAGAAAAAAAGAAAGTAGAGGTCTTGTTTCTAGGAGCAACAGTTGACATTTATTGAGCAATTATTATACCCCAGGCATTTTGGCACATGCTTTGTGCTCAGCATCTTATTTATTTCACACAATAATTTTAACATCGACGTTACTGATCTCTTCCTTATTTAAAAATTATCATTTTTAATTGTGTATGTTAGTGTGTGTACACGTGGACGCAGGTGCCCACAGAGACCAGAGGTGTCAGGTGCCCTGGAGCTGGAGTTATATGTGGTTGTGAGCCATCTGATGTGGATGCTAGGAATAGAAGGTGATTCTTCTGGAAGAGGCTACATGCTGACCTTAACCACTGAGCCACCTTTCCAGCTCATTCTCTTCCTTTAGACCATTACTATACAAAGTGTTAAATACATATTGAAAAGTAGAGAAGATGCCATCCATCATCCAGTGCCAACCATTGTCATCTTGGGTCCAAATTTGTTTTTCTGCTATTTCCATCTCCTCTTGCTTCATTTTAAGTCAAATCTCAGATACTATATTAATTATCTATATTACATATACGTGAAAAGATATTTAAAAACTAACAATACTATGTTATCATCATATTTAAACACATTTGTAATAATTCCTTATAGTATTAAATATCTAATCAATGTTCAAGTACACCTGGACTCTTATAAATCATGCTTTTAGTTGTTTTTGTTAGATCAAAAAAAATTTTTGTTTGTTTTTTTTTCAAGACAGAGTTTCTCTCTGTAACAGCCCTTGCTATCCTGGAATTCACTCTGTAGACCAGGCTGGCCTCGACCTCCCAGAGATCTGCCTGCCTCTGCCTCCTGAGTGCTGGGATTAAAGGCGTGCGCCACCACTGCCTAGCTGATCGAGATATTTTTTAAAGGTATTCTGACATCTCTCTCCCTCCCTTTTCCCCCCACTTTTTAAACAGAGTCACCCCTTTTTCTCCTGCAGTTTGTTGACATGAGTCATTGTCCTGATACTCATTTTTAAAATGAAGAAATCAAGGGTCAGAGAGGTTAGAAAAATTTAGAAACAAATAGAAAAAGAATTTGGTTCCAGCTCCTTATAACTCTAGTGCCTCTGCTGTATAGACTTTATTATATTCCCTTTTATCTGCTATATAGGCTTTATTATATTCCCTTTTATCTGCTGTATAGGCTTTATATTCCCTTTAAGTCAAATGATGAAAAAACAAGGCACAGGGGAACCTAGTCACCCCACAGGCTTCAGCGTAAGCATGGCTCTCCTAAGCAACCGGATTTAGCAAATAACCACAGAACACCATGCACTTAAAACCCAGCCAGGGTTTGAAACCAGAAGAAACATTGAAAATAGTCACTCTGCGTGACGAGGCGATTCCTGCATGTCCTTGTGTCTGTAGCGTGAGCAGATTTTTATGTCTAACAAATATTTAATGAGATAAAAGAATTTCTCAAAGAATCATAATTCATTTTTTTCCTCTTCTTCATCCACTCCACAGTCTCTGCTCGCCTTCGCTCTACAAGGCAGGCTAAGGAGCAAATATCTCTTTCAAGGAGTTATTTTAAAATACCAGTCAAATTAACAATTTGGTAGTTTGATATGTGATATCTGGCTTTTGTTACGGTAGTTTTGAAACCACACGTTACCCTAGCAACTGAATACATTTTTTTTTCCCTTTAAAAATTTTTTTAGCTGTCTGGAGGAGAAAAAAAGAAAAGGAAAACTTCTTGACAGAATTTTCCCATAATAGCTTCCATTAACTGCCGTGACTTCTATTGGAGAGGCCAGCGCGGATGTCTCCTGCTGTCACCTGTCATTCACTGATCTAGCAGATGTTTTGTTTGATAAGGCCAATTTGAGCTTTATAAAACATTTATTTTTTTCACCTCCAAGGAGCAAATACCAGTCAGGGTGGGATTCAACGGTGACCACCAGATACCACCCAAGGGCCTCCACCTGCCAGGGGAGACGCTGGGCGAGAAGAAACACTGAAGCAAATCTAAAGGCTTCGTTCACTTAAAAAAAAAAAAAGGTGGACAAAAAGAAAGAAAGAGGAGGGATGGATCAAGAGCATTAGATCAGTCTCTGGGGACCTAACAAGGGGAAGAAAGGCAGATGAAGAGGCAAGAGTCTACTAGGGAGTCAACTGGAAATCCCTGGTGGGTAAGCCGGTCCCAAAGAGGGCAGTGCAGCTGGTGAGAAGACGGAGAGAGGCCAACCAGCTCCCAAATACAGACATGGAAACTTAATATTAGTTATGAATACTTGGCCTTAGCATATGCTTGTCCCGCTCACTCTTATAAATTAATTTAAACTGTTTCTCTTGGCCTTCATTCTGTATGCCCTACCCCCTGTGTCTGACTGCCTGGTGGTTACCTGACTGCCTGGCCCTCTCTCTCTCCTTCTCTCTCTCTCTCTCTCTCTCTCTCTCTCTCCCTCTCTCTCTCTCTCTCTCTCTCTCTCTCCCTCCTAGAGTCCTCCTCCTATTTACTCTCTCTGCCCACTGGCCCCACCTATCTCTCTCCTGCCTAGCTATTGGCTGGTCAGCTTTTTATTAGACCAATCAGGTGCCTTAGGCAGGCAAGGTGAAACAGCAACACATCTTTAGATAATTAAATGCAGCATAAACAAAACCACATTTTCACATAGTTAAACAAATGCAGGATAACCAAATACGACACACATTTCCATGGTTAAAGTAATATTCCACAACTTAAACAAATGTAACACATCTTTACATAGTTAAAATAATATTCCATAGCAAGAAGGTATGATTCGTTTTACATTTAGTTTGTACTTTGACTGAGCTGGGTGTCAGCATTTCAAGCAAAGTAGAGAAGAATCAAGATGGAAAAAGTGAATGTTAGGTCTTCTCCAGCCACTAGACAGCAATAACCACTTGCATCTGAGAAAGATGCCCCCACCCCCAATGTCATGACCCCAGTGCAGGTGGATCTAGGTTCCATTTTTTAAAACCACAGATTGATCTGATAAAATTATGAGCGTATCAGTCCTTTTCCTGGAGTAAAAAAAAAGGTAGCGCTCCAAGGCCAGGAGTTGTGCTGTCCACGAAGAAATCAGGAAGTGTTTGGTGGTTTGTGCCTCTCGGTACGGTGCCCCCTTTTATGGGTCTCTTGGGGATTGCTTATTTGATCATTTCTGTAGTCCACAGAAGGAGAATAAAGAAAGTCATCTGTTGCAGTATTTCGGCTGAACAAAATTTGAAAGAAAATGGTTCCACTACTCAGGACTTCATTTTGGATTACCCTATCCCTATATCATGTTTTGATTTGAGGAATCATCTTTTTGAGCTAGAGAACTAGAGTACTAAGAGAGGGAGGAAGGGAGGGAGGGAGGGAGGGAGGAAGGGAGGAAGAATGGTGACATTTTTGCAGAAAATAAATTTTTTTGTCAAAAACCCATCCTGAACAATATATATACTTGAAATATATATTTGAAATACATGCAAATTCTCTTTTAAGGAAAAAAGCCATAATCAATTTTCAATATTAATTAGGACTTTTTCCTTTAATTATTTGTTTGTGTTTTGAGACAGAGTCTTACTATATACCTCTGGCTGGTCCGGGACTTATTTTTTTTATTTATGTTTAATTGTAAGTGTTTAAATGTTTGCTTGTATGAATGTATGTGTACCTCATGTGTGATTGGCACCTTAGAAGACTGGATGAGGGTGTCAGATACCCTGGAACTGGAGTTATAACAACTGTGAGACACCATGTATGTGTCCTCTGCAAGAGCAGCCAATGCTCTTAACTGTTGAACCATCTCTCCAGCCCCTAGAACTTCTCCAGGTTGGCTTCAAATGCACAGAAATCTTCTTCCTCTGCCTCGAAGCTGCTAGGATTGCAGATGCAAATACCTAGGACTTAACTCCTTCAAGAATCGCAAGAGCGTTCTGTTTCCCATCTACACAATGCTGACTTGATCTGTTATTCCTACCTGTACAATCATGAAATGATCACATTGAACCCTAACACCAGATCCCAAACAGGAGAAGAATGAGTCTCTAGAGGAAACACTTAAGAAAGAGAACTGGAGCCAGGCAGTGGTGCGCACGTCTTTAATCCCAGCACTTGGGAGGCAGAGGCAGGTGAATCTCTGTGAGTTTGAGATAAGCCTGGTCTACAGAGCGAGTTCCAGGACAGCCACCCTTATGCAGAAAAACCCTATCTCAAAAAAAGAAAGAGAGAAATTGGATATTGAGAAGACAAAAAAATATCTATAAAGAAGGCATAAAGAAAGCCTAAATAGTATCGATTGGCTTGAGAGAAAAGCTGAGGACATTAGAATGAAATATTCTTCAGAATTGCTTCAGTATCAATAACAACAAACATTCATGCATTCATGAGAAATGTGTGGTAGATTCAGTTATAATTTCTAGTCCTTGTCTCTTAAATGCCTTTTCTTGTTTTCTTTCTTTTTTTAAAATTCATGTACATTGGTGTTTTGCCTGTATGTATGTCTGTGTGAGGATGTCAGGTTCCTTGGAACTGAATTTCAGACAGGTGTGAGCTGCCATGTGGGTGCTGGTCCTTGGGAAGAACAGTCAGTGCTCTTAACTACCAAGCCATCTCTCCAGCCCCTTCCTTCCTTCCTTCCTTCCTTCCTTCCTTCCTTCCTTCCTTCCTTCCTTCTTCCCTCCCTCCTTTCCTTCCCATCTCTTCCTCCTTTTAATTTGTTTTTGAGACAGAGTCTGACTGTGTAGCCCTGGCTGACCTGGAACTCACAGAGATCCACCTGCCTCTGTCTCCTAAGTGCTGGGATTAAGAATTTGTACTGCCACAGCAAGCAACTTTTTTATCTTTAAGTAATTTCAAGTGTTCAGTTGTAAGAATCCTACAAAGAAGAACTTTTTTTTTTTTCCTTGACCAGATTCATCACGTTTTAACACTTGGCAGCATTTGCGTTTCTGTTCCCTCGGAAGGTTCAGATTTACGAAGAAGATGATGGGTTGGTTTGAGAGCAACAACGTTTGACCTAAAAGCTCAGCGACGTTGGGATTCAGGAAAGATACTACTCATGAACTTTAAGCAAAAAACAAAACAACACTTACTTGGCTGAGGACAGGACTTTTGGGGAAACTTCCTGAAGACGAAAGTCTAAACCCAACAAAAAGACAGGGTCTGTGAATGGCAATTCTTTTATGTCTCATCCATTTTTGTGACGATACGTCTCATCCATGGCAGGCAAGCACTGTATCACCGAACTACACCCCGGCCTGTTCTTATTTCATGATGGAGAGATACTTTTGAACTGGTTGATGTCATGGCTTCTATTAACTATGCGTCTCATTGCTGTGACAAATACCCTGGCCAAACACAACTTAAGGAAGACAGAGTTTGTTTCAGCTCACAGTTCAGGGTAGAATTCAGCCTGATGAGGACGTCATACTGTTACATCACGTCAGCAGCCAGGAAGCAGAGAACGGTGAGTGCTAATGCCCAGCTTATGGTCGCTCTGTTATTAAGTCTAGGATCCCAGCCCACAGAATGGTGCTGCCCACACTCAAGGTAGGTCCTTCCATCTCACTTAATGTAACCTAGATAATACCTCCCAGGCATGCCTAGAGTTTATCTCCTAGGTGATCCTAGTCCTGTCTCTTAGGTGACGCTAGATTCTGTCAAGTTGACAATAGCAACCATCACCCTAGCTTCTCTCCTGCTTCGCCTTGGTTGTCTACTTGACACAGCCTGAGAGAAAAGCCTGGATTGATGCAATCATAAGTGTTTGCCAAGGTTTAGCGGGGAAAAGACATACACTCCATCTTCCCGTTAAAGTCGAATTGTGAAGAGAGCCCTGGGACATGCCGTACTGTTTCAGCCACTTTTAGAAGATACGGTCTACAATGATATGTATAAACATTGAAAGGGGAAATTGGCCTCTGAATTATGGTTTACTGTTCCTGGTACTTGTAAAGTCTTCCCTTAATGTGTGAGCTATAAAGTGGGATTTTATCTCTTTTCTATGCTTTCTTTACTAGGAATTCTTTTCCATTAATTTCTTAGAAGTATAAGACTTACAGTATTCTTTTGAATTTATTTTATATGTTTATTTAAGTTTATGTATTTTATGTCTATGAGTGTTTTGTCTGCATGCATGTCTGTGTACCGCATGCATGCCTGGTGCCTGAGGAGTTTCGAAGAAGACATCATATCCCCTGGAACTGGAGTTACAGACAGTTGTAGGCAGCCCTCTGGGTACTGGCCATCAACCTGGGTCCTCTGGAAGAGCAGCCAGTGATCTCAACCACTGAAACATCTTCCCAGCCCCTGATTTGCCATACTTTAATTGATGTCATGCTCTCATACACGCCATATAGTAATGTAGCAATTTTCTAAACTTATGATCAGGTGAATGGCAGCAAGCCTGGAATTCCAGAGCATCCGTCACTGGGCAACAGCACGGCGGTTGAGGATGCTGTCCCTTGAGGATGCTGTCCCTCACACCTCATTAAGGTAAAATGTGTTGCTGGGGATGTATCTCACTGGCAGAACACTTGTCAATACATGCGAAGCTCTAGGTTCATTCCCTGGCGTGGAAGAAAGAAGGTAGACTTGACTGGTGATTTCGATGGATACTTTTATAGTGAAAAAATAGTATTTTTGTCCCTTCGGCAGCATCTCTGTGTTCTGTGTTCTCTTCAGCAGGACTGAGACGATGCAGAGTTCAGTGTGACCACACCATAAGGATGACATGCAAGCCTGCGCAACAGTCCATATCAAAAAGAAAAGAAAACATCAAATCCAGGGCCTCTATGCGCATTTTAAAATGAACTTCCCTCCTGTACGTAGCTTGAATGTTTGGAATATTGGAAACCTGCTTGCATCTTTGAAAGAAACCTTAATCCTTTCCTTCGCTACCAAAGGTCTTTTTCTTTTTTTATTTTTTAAAGTATAAGATGAAGAGTGAGGAAATGTCACAGTGTTTGCTTAACAAATGAAAACCCCATGTTTGAGTTCTTTAACGCCCTGGTCCTATTTCACCGTGTCATCGGGGCTAGCTTCCCAGCTGTAAATCACTTGAGAAAACTCTTAGGCTTGGAACTGTTGACAGTGTTTGAACTTCTGTACGTGTGCTTTCGTCTGTGGCTGAGGACACGCCCGCTGTGACAGCTCAGGACGTTCACCCAGAGCTGGCTGAAATCTGTGATGTGTGTTTAGAGCTCTCAGCGGCTCACCAGACCACTCTAGTATCCCGTTTCTGCGCCACTCTCCGTAGTTCGGGCTTCTTGCAGTCTCCTTCAAATCCTTGTTAGCCGGACAGCAACAAAATGTTTCTCTTAAGAGGCAAGAGGTTGGGTCTATTTGGACAGCCTACCAGTTAAGATGGCAGAAAAGACATTGATTAGATAGCGAGGATGGTTTCCAGGGAAAGGCATTTGGGGAGGTGAACACGTATCACTTTAAAGCAGTAGGTTTTAGGGGCTGTGTCTCAGTTAGTAGAATATTAGGTGAAGAGCATTAGCTCAGAGCTAACCTAAGTTTCCGTGTCTAGAGCTACCACGATGGAAATATGTGTCATTTATGGTTAATTTAGCTATATGTGCTAAAATAATTAGAAACCAAGATAACTAACATTGATTTGAAGTTTAGAAGAGAGGGACTTAGTTCACAACTGGCCAGGCACCTCCGTGCCCATCAGGGATCTAAGTGTTTCTTTGGTGGACGCCTTACCCACTTTTACATGGTATGTAGGTTCATAGGTCAAAATGCTTAAGTTCCAGCTACCGGTTCTACTTGCTAGTCAGCAAGGAAAACATGTGCTCTTCCCACGTAAGGGCATCCCCCGAAGCGTAATTCAAAGCCTCCCACTCCGGACTCTACCTCTCTGCTGCAGTAGGTTGCAGGAAAGCTTTCTTCTCGACCGTGCCTCTAGTGAGAAATTCTGTGACCGAGTGCTACAGTCAGAGAGTTTGTATCTCCTCTAAATTCTCACGTGAGAATTAGTTCATTCCTCAGTGCTCCAGTATTGGCAGGTGAGTCCTGGCCGTGTTTAGCTACTACAGGTTTTAGCCCTGGCAAATGGACTGCGGCTATGAAAAGTACTTGGCAGAACCGGTCCCTTCTGCTTTTCCTATGCTTGAGAAAGAGCACTCCCCTGGTGGTCACAGCCTCCAAGGCGGTCATCTGTGGAGCAGAGACTGTCCTTAGCAGACATCAACCTGCTGCCTTAGGCTTGGACTTCACAGCCTACAAAACTGAAAGACAGATAGAGCTTTTTTTCTTTATAAATCACCCAAGCATAGGCAGTCTGCCACGGTAGCGCAAACGAACACTAAGGAACTGATAGTATTCCTTAACACAAAATAAATTTTCCTTTGGAAAAGGATGGGTGGCCTAAAAACAAACCATGTGGTAAGACATATTTAGACTACGTTTGGCACTTTGGCAGTTTACGATAAGAGTTTTTAATTGAAAAAGGTTTATATTGAATATAAGGAGTGAGATAAACTAATCTTCAGGATTGGTTTTATATTACTTCTGCAAAGAAAAGGGGAACATGAAAGAAGCAAACTCAAAATTGAACTCACAGAGATTCATCCACCTGCCTCTGTCTCCCGAGTCTTGGGATTAAAGGTGTATGCCACCACTGCCTGGCCTCTACGGCTAACTATTGTGGCTAGCTCTGCACTCTGATCTTCAGGCAAGCTTTATTTGTTACAGCACAAACGAAATATCACCGCATCTCATGGCTTACTATTGTTATCTCCAACGACGAGTAAAACGCTTGGCGTGTAAGAGACTAGAAATAAAGGATTGGTGATCAAAGCAAAATTAGGGAAAAGAAGTCTGAAACTGATGTGTGCTCATGAGGACAGACGAGAATGGATGATTATCCAGCAACCTCAGACTACCCACGAGGAACCTTAGTCACAGAATCAATACATAACTGACCTAAATGTCAGAAGGGCAGTTTGCACAGTACAGCGGGAATGGCGAAAGCGTGGTCATCTTCAGAGCCACGAGAGAAACACCAGAACCCCGGAGAGAATGTCCCTCTCTTTTTAGTTACCTTGCGGAAAATATGTCGCCATATAATCACATGGCCTCTTGTCAGAATCCCAAGGAACAGCACATTTCCTTGCGGTACTCAGATTCTGTTCTATTAACTACTGTTTCCAAATAGGAGGCTAACCAGTAGGGACTCAAATCCTTTTGTCATGCTAACATTTTGGTTCTAATGGTCTCAATTATGAAAACTGGTTCTGTCGATGGAACTACAATTACTTGCAATCATTTCCTTAAAAATTCTCATAATACCGTTACATAATTTTTTTTGTGGCCAAGAGCTGTTTATTCTGTTTAAGTATTTCATGGGAAATCTACTTGAACGTGCACCTCACTCAGTCAAGTTAGCAATGTTCTGACACACACACACACAAAAAGGGTTCCATTTACATATGAATGTGACTTTGATGGATGGGATCTGAAGATCAACAGTCCTCAGGAAACTGTCACAGTGAGCAGTCAGCTGGCTTAGGGATGTGGCTCAGTGGTTGAGTGCTTGCCTAAGCGTGGGCCAAGCCCGGGATTCAATTCCCCAGCCCCACAAATAAGACAGCATTAAGTAAGTAAGTTTCTGTGTTAGAAATTATTAGACATTTCCCTACTTCTTGGCACACAAAGCATTTTTTTTTCACTCATAAATCCATGGGTCATTGTTGTGGTTTAAATACAGAATGTCCCCATAGACCCATATGTTTGATCTTTAGTCCCCAACTCAGGGTACTGTTTGGAAGGTTTTAAAAGCTTCAGAAGGTAGGGCATTGTGTGGGAAGTGAGTTGTAATAGGGCTTTGAGGTTTTATAGCCTGGCCCTACTCTGGCCTGCTCTCTGCTTCCTGACTGTACAGGCAGTGTGACTTTAGGTTCCTGCTGCCTGCCATGCTGCCCTGGTCAGTGGATTTAATCCTCTCAAACTAGCAGCCAAAATAAATCCTTTCCCCTTTAAGTTGCTTCTTATCATGTATTTGACCACAGCAACAAACAAGTAACTAAAACAGAAAATTAGTATCAGAAGTGGGGACATCGCTGCGATAAACCTGACCACATGGTCTGTAGGCCTTTGGACCCAGTTTTCAGAAAGAATGTGGAATAATCCGAAACCTTGAGCTAGAAGAGCCTGGGAATTCCATAAGCCTAGTTTAGTGGTCTATTTGTGGGGGTTTGGAAGGTTAGGATGCTTAGAGAAACAAGGACAGCAGTATCCCTACTGTGGAGTTTCAGAAGGCCTAAGAACCCTGTTGGGAATGGGGAAAGAAGCCGTTCACGTTAAATTCTGTCAAAGAATCTGCCTACAATCTGCCACTGTCTGGAAAACTTGAGTGAGGCTGAATTTAAACAATAATGGACCTCTTTCAAAACAGGGTAGCATTTAGGCTGTGTCATGGTTACAGTTCAGTGCTCTTATCCTGGTCTGCAGTGAGGGAAAAAACCAGCAAGTAAAGCACAAAGATACAGAAACCTTCAGTTTGGAGAAGAAAGCAATGAGTTCAGAGTTGCAGACAAGGTGAGTGTGAAAGCAGCTACGTTTACTAAGGGAATTATCAGCCTCTTTGGAGAGAAGCCAGGCCTGCCTGCAGAAGTGTTTCCCCAGGGTTAGCCTTAAACAGACATAGAGAACACCACACTGTAGCCATGATAGGACAGGGCCAGGCTGCACCTCGAGGTGACAGCAGAACTTGGTAGCACATGGCACTCTTTGTGCAAGAATGCAAAGCGCAAGAGTGAGGGGGACACGGAGTCCCCCAGCTATTAATTCCAAGCAGTGTGTGGCAAGGTTGGTCTAGTGTGTGTGGCAGAGTCAGCTCTGAGAGGCCGCTGCACAGAGCGGAAGCCTAAGTTGCTGTGGAGAGTCCAGGATGTTGGAGACAGCAGGACCATGAGGTGTCTGCAGAGGAAAGTGTAGGTACAGAATGGATTTGGCCAAGACAAAGGCTATGTATGCCAAAGGCAATAGAACTGGAGAGAGATGGTTCCATCAGGAGTTCCCGGTGCTGGATATAGAGCTATAGAGTTTGGTGTTTGTCCTTCTGGTTGTCTTGGTCCAGTCTTTTCTTGTGTCCTTCCATACTGTCTTCTTCCCTTTTAGAGTGGGAGTGATTGCTCTGTCCCATTAATTGCGTATTAGAAGACTACGACTTTTTAAATATAAATTTTATAGGGGCTAGCAGCTAAGAGATTGCCTTGAGTCTCGGAAAAGACTTTAGACTCTTAACAGTGCTGGGACTATTAAAGACAGTGGGGACTTTTGAAGTTAGAATAAATGCATTTTTCACTACGAGATGATTGTTAGCCTATGGCAGGCAGGGATAGAATATTCTGGTTTGAATATGAAATGTTCTGCATGGGATCATGTGTTTGAACGCTTCATTCTCAGCTGATGACACTGTTTTGGAAGCGTGTGGAACATTTAGGAGACAGAGCCTCACTGGAGGACTT